AACTGGGCGCCCAGTTCCACCCGCGGCTGAAACTGACCAGCGGCTGACTACAGGAAGCCCGAGGCAGAGTTGCTCTGCCCCGGGCTTCCTGGAATCAGCCGCTGATCAGTTTCAGCAGCGGCTGAATCTGGACGCCAGTTCCGACTTACATACAGATTCAACTTAAGAACAAACCTACAGTCCCTATCTTGTACGTAACCCGGGGACTTCCTGTAATGTAGAAACTAAGGCTCTAATTCTTGAAAGAAAAACACACAAGTGAATCCCAATGAAGCACTGCCTGCATGTGTTTTTTTTTTCCTTGGGTGTAGAAGCCTATTGTTAAGTTTTGTGGTTTTTGTTTAATGAGGTGGGAGTCCAGAATATAACAGCGCAGAAGATTCTTGTTATTTAACGTCATGTTGGTTGTCTGTTCTTGTTTTCTGTTTTCCTTCGTGCTGTCAGGAATAAAACTATATTCAGTAATATTTGAAGGGTAGCTGTGTTAGTCTGGATCTGCAAAAGCAACAAGGAGTCCTGTAGCACTTTATAGACTAACACATGTATTGGAGCGCAAGCTATCATGGGCAAAGACCCACTTCATTAGATGCATGTAGTGGGTCTTTGCCCACGGAAGCTTATGCTCCAATACATCTGTTAGTCTATAAGGTGCTACAGGACTCCTTGTCGTTTATTCAGTAATATTGTTTAGTTACCAATATATTTTTAGAGAAAGCTCAAATAGCTGCAAAGGATCCAGTTTAGTTGGGCCATTCCTCTTGCTGTGTTGCAGCATACATGGGGTGAATTGACCTGGTTGGGGTTGTTGTTTTTTTCCTGCCAGATGGAAGCTTTTCTGAGGGAATAATGCTGGATCTAATTGTTCTTACATTCAAATAATATAATAACTTGTCATCTTTTATAATACAATTTATGGTATTGTGAAATAATTTTTAGTTTATAATTCCTTGGCCTTTTTAACATTTAATTTCAGATGGCGAACAAAGCAAAACTTGGATTATTGTTTTCTTATGATGTATGCCCAAAAAAAGGGCATTTATTATATTCAGGTAAATCTCTTTTCTTTGATGCTATTCAAAAAAGCCTGAAATACCATGGTGATGGGAACATCATAAAAAGCAAAGTAGATATAAATAGAATGACTATATATTTGGAAGGTTATTGCAATTATGGTTATTATAGTATAGTGAATGTGTGTAAATTGAATTACTTGCACTGGCTAAACCAGAAACCTACTGTATAAACTCAAACATAAGTCCGTTCATAAAATGACCCCCACCAAAAATGTCACAGGAAAAAAATGTTAAGTCAATGACCTATTTATAAGCTGACTCCAGTGTACAGACTTCCAGTCCCACCTCATCACTGTCTGCATGGACTGAGGGACATGCTGGCTGCAGGAACATAGTCTTTCAGCTCCCAGTGGCTGCTGTTCGCTGTTTCTAGCTGATGGAAACTGAGAGGTTCCACGCATGCAGCCAGACATTCCTCAGCCCACGCTGCTTCCTGCAACTTCCATTAGCTAATGGGCTCCTGTCCACTGATCTTCTACGTTGGCTTTATGTAGCTCAGCCATACGGTCTGCCCTGCCTGCTTGCCACTGCAATCCTAGTGCTGGCTGCAGGCACTGGACCTTTCATCTCCCATAGGCAGGAGGTAGGGAGGAAAGGACAGGTGCTGCTTCCTGTCCCAGTATAGGAGGAGTTGGGAGAGGGATGACCTGGCCCATGTCTTTGCTAAGCTCATCTCTTCTTCTCTTCCACATAGGTAGAAGTAGCTTTGACACCTTCCTGCCAGTGCAGTGTCAAAAGGCAGCTAATTTATTCAGGCTGCTGCTGGCCACTGACATAACTGCATCCTTCTCTTCTTCTCCTCCCCTGCTACAGCCTGGGCAGGAAAGAGTTAAGCCTAAAGGATGCATTGCGTGCTAGGGCCCGTGGATCTGGTGGGTGAAGAGGATACTAAGGCACTGCCCTGGGGTAGTTGAGGAGCCCGCAGATTTGGGGTGTGAACAGGTTGGAAATTACTCCCCCTCCACCCACCCAGTACTCCAATGCTTAGCTGACAGGTGGAGAGACTTTCCCGTGCCAGTGCTGTGCAGGGCTTTGGCACGTGCAGGTCCTGGCCAGTGCCCTGAGCTAGAGAGTCTTTAGTTTTCCTGGGATGCCTGCGCAGCCAGAGGCAGTAGGGCAAGGAAGGAGCCTGCTTGCCAGGCTGCTGGTGAGTGACCAGGTCTGGTTCTCAGCATAGAGTTGTAAGTGGGACCAGCCCTACTAGTGGGAATATGGAGAAGCAGTGGGGCTCAGGAGGCAACGAGGCAAAGCAGGGAGAAGATAGTGAGAGGGAGAACATGTAAAGGGCTGATGGGTGTGCAACAGAGGTGACACGTAACTAGCTCCTGCCTGGTGTGGGTCCACCTTCACCAGCCACAGTAGTACACAGACAATGCCACTTGGAAACTGGATGGGGACAGGACCCTGCTGGAGGAGAGCTGGTATGCAGCTGGGCTGCATGGATGGAGCAACAGGGGGAAGCAGCCAGCCTTGTGCGCTGGATCTTTGCTCTATCACCAGCTTTGCACATCCACTTCCATAGTCAGTCACTAGACTCCCACACTTGCTGCTGGTGGGAAGGCAGCTGGTGAGCAGATATCTGGCCACCAGCTGGATCCACCAGTACTAATCTGAGGAAGTGGGGCTGGAGGACAGAAAATATGGGATAATTTGCCTGTTTTTAAGAAAAGGCAGCACATTTGCAGAACTGTCCCTTTAAAAATGGGACATTTGGTCACCCTACATCTTCACTTCTTTATCAAATACATTTAAGGCTAGAGCTGCTATTAGTAAAAGAGCAGCATGTTTTCTTCAAGCAACATTTTGTGCCATGATTGCCCCCTACTGACACACAAAACCACCTGATCACAGTATGGGACTTCTATTTTTACACAGAGAAAAAGAAGAAAATTATGGGTCCCAAAATGAAAGTGAATTAAAATGAGATTTAAAAAAAAATGACACATTTTTTTAAATGGGTGAAACTTTGTTATGGTTTGATCTACAGCTGTATTCAAACTGTGTGAATGCACCCTCCCTTTATGATAATTGTAAGATACAGCTAAGGAGTTACAACTAAAACAAGGTTTATTAGATTTTGCCCAGAAACTAGCACCAAAGTTCCCCTGGGTATTTTGACCAGGTGTCTGAAAGAACACACACAAACTAAAAACAGAAAGAAAGGCAGAGTTAAAAAGAAAGTCAAGTGATAATTCCTACTGTGTGAATGCACCCTCCCTTTATGATAATTGTAAGATACAGCTAAGGAGTTACAACTAAAACAAGGTTTATTAGATTTTGCCCAGAAACTAGCACCAAAGTTCCCCTGGGTATTTTGACCAGGTGTCTGAAAGAACACACACAAACTAAAAACAGAAAGAAAGGCAGAGTTAAAAAGAAAGTCAAGTGATAATTCCTGTGAGCACTTGATTGTCTGGTGTTGGCTTATAGATGCTTGGGGTTGTAAACTTAAAAAACGTTCCCTTTTGCTTTTTGTACCTCCTGCATTCAGACCAGCAGGATTCTGTACAAGCCTTGCAAATAAACAAGATTGCATTAAGGAGATTACCAGACTCCATCAGTTTTACTTGCAATTGGAACATCACCAGAGCCCCAAAGTTTGAATAGCTGCTCATATCAAAGTGGGGCAGCAATACCAACATTGCACCCTACATTTACTGTTTAACAATGGCATTAGAGAATGATGATCTGATTGGCCTTTCAGTTAGATTAGATTATACCATAAAGATGTATAAATAAATGTATTAAAAGCTAACAAAATAACAAAAGTGTAAAATTCCTTTTCTTTATTCAGATTTTACACAATATACTTAGTCCCTTCAGTGTTGTCTTGTAGTATGTGTTTTTAGGATGGTTAAGGCACATAAACTTCGTCTTTCTATCTCACAATACACTAATGGATGCAGTTATAAGACAGTAGTTAAGCTGTTAGTAAGATGTGGTCCTGTCCATGGATTTTTACAGCACCTACCACAATGGGGTTCTTATCTGGACTGGAACCTTTGAATGCTACCATGATACATATAGTAAATAACAAGTAATGCACTTTATGGACTATTTTATTCTCACACTGTGGCAAATCACTCAAACATATTCTTACCATTTATATTTGTGACAATAAATCCATGAAGAATTAAAAAATCAATGAGATTAATCCATTTTTATATTTGTTTTTTTTATTTAACTTTACTAGTCCTCACAGTTGACATGCCATTTTATATATACAGCTTTGTTGCTGTCAAGTTTGTCTTAGAATATTAGAGACACAGAGTAAATGAGGTAATATCTTTTATTGGACCAGCTTCAATTAGATTTGAAATAAGAGCTCTTTATAAACTTAAAAGCTTGTTTCTCTCACCAGCAGAAGGTGTTCCAGTAAAAGATCACCTCATTCACCTAGTGTGTGTTATGCCATTTTGTAAACTATTGTGTAGTCATCTGCTATGATGTCAGTTTTGTTACAAATAATACATATATTCACATGAAGTAAAGCAGGAATACAGCCAATTTGTCTATATCCGGAAACTCACAATAAGTCATTTATGTGCCTGCAAACAAAATACGCTATAGGAAGAGATGTATGTATGGGTACTAGTATTCAGCATATCCACTACAGGCAACAGCTGTAAACGGAAGTGGGCAATTTTGGGGATAGAGTCCAAAACTCTCACTATGGAACATTTGACTTTTTTTAAAAAATGGTTTAATCATGCCAGTATTTGCTTCATAAGCATAATTCTAAAATGGAAATTATGCTGCTTTGAGTTATATAAACATTTTTATGCTTATTTTCTGTGGTGATCATTTTCTAAATTTGCTGAGATAATTGCTTTTGAGGGAATGGGATTATAACTTCTGTTTTCAAGCTGTTATTTTTATTGGCCCTTATAAAATGAATGAAATAGATGTTTAGTTTTCCATCTAAGAAATGTGCTAGGGCAAATAACAAATAAAACATTCTAGAAGTGAAAAAATGGTGCTTTCTCTTTTGCTGGAGTTTTGTTTTGTGCCAAAAAGTAGTAACTTCAAGCAAATTCACAACAGTAGTGTACTAAAGTATTCAATATTGATACAGATTTATGAGCAAGGATTAGAGAGCACTGTTGATATTTTGTAATTTAGCAGCAGTTAAATACACCCTCAATGGAATCTTTATCTGGGTATTATATACTTTTAAAGAGAATTTAAAAAAAAAAGTCTAGTTAACTCTTATCTTGTCCCAAATAGTTGGTGTATACATACCTGGATTTTTATTAAAAAGAGTTTCCAAGTAAATTATCCTCAAATAGGTGGCCTGTGGTCAGTCATGCTTTTACAGCAATAATTCTTGTATATGATACCTGGATACAAGCGTGGTGATTGCACTAAAAATCTATGGATAAATACACATAAGAAGTATATTTTATGACTACTTTTTCTTTGCTATGCTACCTTTTGCTTTGCTTTTTCTGCTTTGTGTTAATACAAATTTTTGATTCCTCTAGCTTGAAGATGACATTGTTGTCAAGCAGAATTACTTCAGCACGATAAAAAATTTTGCACTTCAGCTCTCGTCTGAAGATTGGATGATTTTAGAATTTTCTCAGCTCGGTTTCATTGGTAAGAAAAATATCCTGTTCAGTAGTTTGAAAAGAAAAAATTCAACCAGTGGTTACTTAAAACTACCTTCTTTATTACTGAAAATGGCACAAGGAATAAAAGCAGATTGACTTGTATTGCTATATGCTGTAACTATACATTACAATAATTGTGGCTACCTATAGATCAGGCTGGGCAAAAGGGCCTCTGTAGGCCGGATCCGACCCGCCAAGCGGGTTGATCAGGCCCCTGGAGGCCCTGCTGCTTCCCCCTTTCCCCAAGCCCTGATTGGTCTGGGGGTGGGAGGAGTGTGCGAGGTTTCCTCTGCCCTACTTTTACCCTGACAGGAGCACATGACAAGGCGTGAGAAGGCTTCGCGTGCTCCACCTCCCCAGGCCAATCAAGGTCATAAAAATTATTCTCTTTTGCAAAAAGTTTCTATCCTTGTCCTCCTGCTGCCACTTTGAGCAACCATGTGACTTCCAGAGCATGCCCCCAAATACCACTTATTGTTTATAATGTTTAGATAAAGACAAAGTCGAGAGAGAAAATACACACTCCAGAATCTTAGATTCTGTCATGAAAATAAATTTGTTGCCTACTGTATATAATAATGAGATTTTACTGACACACACAAAATTTACATAAATGCAACTGAAAAAAATTTCAAAGGGATTTAATGCTTTGAAATCTGATACTACAGTCACAGTCTGGTTTGATCTAATTTAACCATAATGAACTAGGCCCCCACAATGATAAATTGGAAACTAATTCGGAGAAGCTATGACAGTTTTCCATTAGTTAGTCAGCATCACTGATTCCAATTCAAGTATCATTAGCTGAACACACAACAGGAAGAGGAATCTGAAATGTGGCTAGTTAAATATAATCCTGAATGTTTTTCCTTCACTCCCAACAATTCAAATTTGAAGACCTAGTTCTCTACTTGCATACTCGTCTCAGTTCATTGTATTAAGGTAGTGGGAAACAGTGAGGCTACATCTACACTGGCATGAATTTCCAAAAATGCTTTTAACGGAAAAGTTTTCCGTTAAAAGCATTTTCAGAAAAGCACGTCTAGATTGGCAGGATGCTTTTCCGCAAAAGCACTTTTTGTGGAATAGCGTCTGTGGCCAGTCTAGACGCAGTTTTCCGCAAAAAAGCCCCGATCACCATTTTTGCGATCTGGGCTTTTTTTCGGAAAACAGTACTATGCTGTCTACACTGGCCCTTTCGCGCAAAAGTCTTTTGGGAAAAGACTTTTGCCCGAACGGGAGCAGCATAGGATTTCCGGAAAAGCACTGATAATTTTACAGGAGATTGTCAGTGCTTTTCCGGAAATTCAAGCAGCCAGTGTAGACAGCTGGCAAGTTTTTTCCGCAAAATCAAATGATTTTGCGGAAAAACTTGCCAGTCTAGACACAGCCTGAATGTAAAATTAGACTCTTGATTTCAGAATTTTGTCATTATTTAAAGAGCCTGCTTTCCCTTGAAGTTAGCTTAGTATCAAACATGTTTTTAATATGTTCTTCTCATGCATGTCTTTTATTATGCTCCCTCATAGGAACTGGGGGGAAATATAACCTTTTACTGGGCTGTATAGCAAGCAAACTGGGTGTTAACTGGGTTGAAAACATCAGCCAGCAACCTTTCCCCAAACCAAAATAGCAGAGGTGGTGATCTGTACATTTTATAATGAGCTGGAAGGCTCGAACAACAAACGTACTGGGGAGACAGGAACCTCAACAAATGAGAGGAGGAAATATTCCAGTTCTTCTTCAGGTGATGTCCCGTGGATGCTCCACGTATAGTTATGGGCTTGTCCTGGCTCCGCAGATCGGAGTTTTTTCTAAGCAGTTGCTAGTCGGGCTGCACATGTGCAACAGGTGTCTCATGTTGCTGGCAGTTTGACTGTTGAGCGTGGTCCGACTCCCTCCCCTCAGTTCCTCTTCTACTGCCCTTGACCATAGATGGAGTCCTGCCACTTCAGGCACTTTTCTCCTCATAGATAAAACCTTCACAAAAAAACCTACACCTTCACAGCCTGACACCCTCACATAGTCAGCAGCTTCACTAACCTCCCCCGCCTCCAGCCCAACCACCAACACCTGGAATATGCCTGCCTCGCAAGGCTTTAAAAAGTGTGGTGGCTGAAGCAATCCTATCCCAGCCCCAGACAGACACAGCTGCTGTGTCAAATGCTTGGGGGAGGCACACAGTCCTCAGGAATGTGACCATTGTAAAACCCTGCCTGCAAGAGCGAGAGAGGACAGAGAGCTTAGGCTCCTTGTGTCCCGTATGGAGAGGGCTTTACAGCCCCAAGCAGAGGTTGCTCAGGATCAAAGGACACAGATCCCCAAGTGCAAATCAGCCTCCTTAATGCTGAAGGCACATCAAAGGAGCAGGAATTCCCCTCCAGATGCCTGCTGCAGGCTCCATTCCCCAGAATGAATGGGAGGGACCTGGCAGCCTCAGAGTCATCTTCCTCTGCACCGGCCAGGCACAGACAAGCTGCGAGATCTCTCCCCGCACCGGGAGAAACTCACAGACAGCCTCCGGCACGGAAACAGGCACAGGCACATGCGGCACCGGATGAAGCAGCGGAGCTGGCTTCAAAGTGGCCCTGCAAACCCTCGGTGCCCATTACAGCAGGACTTTAGTCCACAGGCTAAGCAGATGGGCTTTGAAACAGATGCAGATTGCATGGAGCTAAGGGGGAACTATACCAAGCACAGATGACTCCCCTCCCCCACCTACATCAAGGGAACAGTCCCTGGCACTGTACCCACCCTATTCAGCACCAAAGCAGGGATGGGGATACTCAACAGAGATCTATGATGAGAAGAATGTGTTCTCCTCCCAGCAGGCATCCTTCACTTCATCTCTACAAGGGCACCACTACACCCCATGACTGTATCACCCACAGTGGCACCCAAGCTGGTATTACCCACAGCCACATTGCCAGCGACAGTGGGCACCTTTGGATTGCTGGGCACCACCCAAATACCACTCTATTGCCCCATCCTCAGGAAAAAGGCAACCACCAGTTTCGCCGTCCCACTCTATGGTAGCCATACCTGACTTGGAGGAGGAGGAAGGCCAATTAGCTGATGATCAGGATGACACTCGGCTGGCACAGTCACAAGACAGTCCCACTTTCCCTCCATGGGATGCCATGGTCCTGGATGATGATCACATGATAGTGGACCTGAAACAATTCCAGAACCTTTTTAAGAGGGTTGCTACATCACAAGAAATAAAACGTCAGGAGATTAAGCAGAAACAGCATGATCTTCTGAAGAATATCCACCCATCATCACAGGGCAGAATCTCATTGCCCATGGATGAAGCAATTATGGAGGTCTCTGGAGACATCTGGCAAACACTAGCATTGACTCAGCCGACCTGCAAAAGGCGGACAAGAAATATCTCGTCCCACCTAAAGATCTAGATTTCCCTTTTCCCCATCCTCAGCTAAGCTCACTGGCCATCACTGCAGCAAGCCAACAGCCCCTCACCTTAGATCAAATAATGGCAACAAGAAGTACAAGAGGCTAGACCAATTCAGAAAGAAGGTCTCCCCATCTACCACCCTGCAGCTTAGAATAGCCAATTACTAAGCACGTCTGGCAAATCACAACTTTGACAGCTACTCCAGACTAGCAGACCTGATAGAGCATCTGCCTGATACCAAAAAGCCCATACTCAGGGCAGTCATATGTGAGGACCACACAACTGCCCATACAGCACCGCTGTCTGATTGATGTGGTGGACACAGCAGCGAGAACAATGGCTACAGCAGTCATGATGAGAAGAACATCATGGCTTCAGGCCATGAGGGTACCAAAAGAACTGCAGTCAAAGATAGAAGATCTCCCCTTTGACGAGCACAAGCTTTTTGCCAGCAACACTGATGAGAATAAGCACAACAGCAAAAACACGCTCACCACCTTGTATACTCTAAGAATGTACACACCACTGTACAGGTGCAGGTGCAATACCCCGTACAATAAAAGCAGGGACTCGTATTACAACCGTACTCAATACAAACCAAATGAGTACAATCGCACCAGGCAACATACCCAGAGGAACCACAAACAACAACCATGTCTCTCTGGTGGCCAGACCTTGAAGCAGCAAATTTGAAACATTGATTGAGGGCATCCCAACCTCCCCAACCATCCAGTGCAACGAGACCAAAACCATCTATTCAACCATAGATTACGCTCATTCCTTCATCATGGGCCTCCATAACATCTGAACAGCGAGTCACAGAAATGATCCGCATGGGATATTCGATTCCATTCAACTCCCTCCATCATACCCCATCCCTCTTCAGTGACTCATCTCATGAGATACCCCTCAAACAAGAAACCAACCTGCTTCTTCATCTAGGAGGTACCCAAACCATACTGGGGAAGCGGGCTCTACTCCACCTATTTCCTGACCCAGAAGTGTACAGGAGGCTGGAGACCAATCCTAGACCTCTGCAAATTAAAGTTCCTCCGAGAGCAGAGATTCAAAATGGTCACTCTGGCTACAATCATACCACCGCTGTACAGAGGGGACAGGTTCGCAGTCTTTGTCTTACAAGATGCATATTTTCACATTGCAATACAGATGTTTCTTTCATTTTACAGCAGTCGGGGATCATTTTCAATACAAGGTCCTTCTCTTCGGCCTGTCATCTGCCCTGCGGGTATTCCCCAAAGTCCTAGCACTTGTGGCTGTATACCTTACACAACAGGGGGTAATGATTTCTCCCTACCTCGATGACTGCTTACTGAGAGGTCGTTCACAAGGGGAAGTGATCAACATAACAAAGACCAAGCGACTATTCAACCTGCTGGAGCTCTTAATCCACAAACAGAATTCATAGCAGCAAGACTAGATGCCCTAAGTCCTGAACTGGATTGAGTGTTGATTTCTATCAGCCAGGGCATACCTTCCACAACATGGGTTCCAGACTATTTGAGATTTAATTCTTGCCCTCACCGCAAACCCATCCGCCACAGTCTGTA